AGAGAGAGAGAGAGAGAGAGAGAGAGAGAGAGAGAGCTCTAGAGAGAGAGCTCTAGAGAGAGATGGGATGTTGTGGTGTTGAGAGTATATGAAGTGATCATTTTTATGATTTGATGTATAGGTTTTGCGAAAAGAGGAGCCAATAGACAGCCGTTTGGCGACCGCCTGTTCATATGTAGCACATGAGAGACTTTCCTATGCCTTCTCAGTTTGGCGAATGGAAGTGGAGTCGACCATGGACAATTTTGAAATCAACAATTTTGCGTTAGGATGACAACATTTTATTGAATCCAAGAACATTCAATACAGTATTATAATTTTTAACACATGATTAAGTAATTAATCTGGATGGCAATTCCCTTGAAATAATTCAAGCACATGATCAAATGTATTTCATTTAATGTATTTTCCATATTTTACATTTAATATATAGAGTTTTCATATTTTTATCATATTCTATGAAATATAATTTTTGTATTACACTTTTGTATGATTCAAACATTTCCGATATTAATAAACATAATGATTATTTATATTTTATAATTTATAAATTATATTACTTCTTGTTAATTATTTCTAGTGTCACTAATATATTTTACCATAAAATGATAAAAACAAATTTTTAATCAGTGAAATACATGAAATAAATGAGCAAATAATTAATAATGTTTAAATATAAGCGCTATACTAAATATATAAGCATCGATTTGACGGATAGTAAAGATATTTGTAACTCATGTGCAGTTGTGCTAACTCTGGGAGCAATACATAACATGTTAAGTATATCACTGTTAAGTATCCCTCTATTACCGCCCATATTGTAGTATTAGATTGCAATACAATATTCACCATTGAATAGCATTGACATTACATAGTGAAACACACCTCACGACTACTATTTATCACTTAATATTCAAATATATTTTGTGACGACTTGTGATATAAAACTAAATATACATAAATTGTGGTAAAAATGCCCAAAACGTTAATTATAGTGATTTTGGATGAGAGCGGAAGTATGGGAACCAAGAAAAGTGATGTTTTGGGCGGTTTTAATGGCTTTATCAATGATCAGAAACAAATTAAAAATGATCATGCTAGATTGTATTTAGTTAAGTTTAATACGGTTGTTAATGTCGTTCATAAAGGTAAAGTATACCATATTAATTATATTATCACATTTTTTTTGTTATTTATCTATTATATTGAGTTGATATGAATTTATTGCAACCTTAATATACTTTACATGTTAATGCAATTGTCTCCTCAATCAGACAATATTTAAATATGGTATTCATATTTATACCTAAATTATTGTTTAGGTGGATAATAAATCTATAGAATCTATCATGGTAATATGCTTTGTTCGTCAAAAATGCCTACATGTGTAATTCGTTATTTTGACTAAAATGTTGTGTGCTTGGTAATTGGTTGAATTAGTTAATTGGATAAACATGTTAATAAGCCTACAATAATTGAATAAATACTTAAAATAAAAGTATTTGCTATAAAGTTTATAGCATGAACTATGTAAACATGGTTATACATTTAATCATTGAATTCTAATGTAAATTAATTTACCGGCAAATATTCGATTGTCATTAAATGTTATGATATAATGGTTTAGTAAATTCGTTTAATGAGCAAAAATTATTGCAATAGTATTGCAAATATTTGTTTGATAGAAATGATGAAAATATTTTCAATAACTTTCAATTGCTATTCAATTGTCAGTTCTGTCGACCAATTATTTAATATAATAAATTAATTAAGTATTTATCAAGACTTCAAAACTTGATATGTTTTTAAACAATATCAATATAAATGAAATACTGTATAATAAAAGTCTTGAAAAATTAGATATATTAAATAATATAGTATATAATGCATATCCATAAAGCATTTTATTAAAGAATTACATGAAAATAACGGTAACGATAGCTATAATCTAACGGATTATCTTTTTAATAAATACTTGACTGAGTTGTGGTAACTCTAGAAAAATCTATAATAAAAACAAAATTTGCATTAATATTATTTTTATAATTACTAAATTCTTGGAATATTAATTTAACTAGCTTATTATGCACTCATCAATATTCAGCATAATTTTATTGATACCATGACTATGAATAATCTTACGAATAAAAATTTTAATACTTATTAGAGTATAGATTATTGCTTACAAAGTATGTCATTAAAGACCAAAAACACATTTTCATGAATAATAAACATTATCTCTGATTCCTAATAACTGCTCACTTTATATAACACGTTAATGCTATGACTCTCATACTTTATACCTTGCTATATAACAGTTATGTTAATCATCTTGAGCTTATTTAACAAGATTCTTGCCTACATACATATAATCCTAAATACAGTATCTGTCATAATTTTGTCACAATTATATTCATGTAATCAATTGGTCAGACATTACTGTTTACATGATTTAGTTTTATAGCATAAAAATGACAAAACTAACGATTATTTGATTATCATTGAAATATACAGGCGTTGAGTTGGATAACGTGCCGGAGCTGACGGCTCACAACTACCTGCCGGGAGGTATGACAGCCCTATACGACGCCATAGCAGAGGGCGTACGACTGGCCGATAGGGACAAGACTAACGACGAACGGGTGATATGTGTGATAATGACCGACGGAGAGGAGAACTCGTCCCGCGAGACGACCAAAGAGCAGGTCCGACACATTATCTCCGGTTACGAAGCGAAGGGCGACTGGACTTTCGTCTACATCGGCGAGAATCCCGAGCGCTGGAGTCGTGACGCCGGGATGTCGGCCACCAATGCTATCAATTATGATCACATCAATACCAGAAATAACTACACAAACGCCACGTCAGCCGTCTCTCAGTTCCGCAAATCGCTGTCAAAACAGAGCACTAATCTCTTCTCAAAGGACTGATCCAAAGAGAGAGAGAGAGAGAGAGAGAGAGAGAGAGAGTTCACTTGTCAATCATATGTTAATCATTTTTCTATTACCTCTCGATAAATAAAATATTGTCTATAATTTGTATTTAAATTTTGAGATTAATTATTATGTAAATATTAATTATTATATACAGTACTTTAGTGTCCATTACTGTAAATGGTTTACTTATATTTGAAAATATATATTTAAAACATTTAATAAATATTTAAAACATTTACAGTATATTTAAATACTTATTTTTAGTCATACATTTATTTATCATTAATTTGAAATACTGTAGATGTGGTGCATATGATTGTATAATAAATTTATTCAGATTTTTATACATATGATTGTTAATTAAAACTCGTTTAATACTTATAATTGTAATAACAATCGTAAATAAATATTAAGATTAATTGATATTCTCTTACCATTATGTGTAAAATTAAATTATAATTAAATTTTTTTTACTTCTCGGGTATTTATAACTTAACATTTAACATTTTTAGTCTATTTTTAAAATCATTTATTGTAGTGATATTCAAAATTATATTTATTGTTTGATATCAATTATAAAATTATTGACAAATTAAACATTATATTTATCAAGTATTTTAATAATCATACATTTTCTTTGTAATTAATTAAAGTTTATTCATTAACAACTATTTTAATTTTGTTATTATAAACTATGTTTACTCCATTTCAAGCATGATTAACAAATCAAATACTTGTACATGATAATAAACAAGGTAAACAAAAATTGTCAACATATTTTTATTTATCTTTAATTATTTTATAAATTAATTCTCAAATCATATATACATTTGGGTCGATTGCATTTCAAAAGTAAACAACGTTACACACAAAATCACAACCGTTACACAACTAGGGGGTNAAACTGACGAAGAATATAAAAAATATGTGATGAAACAGAGGGTGTGTTCAAAATGTTAGTTTCAATCATATCTTTGTATATATCATAAATGTTTTATGAATTACTTATTATAGAAATTTTATTTCATAATTTGTTAAAATATTTGGACTTTGAAAACATTAAATGATAAATAAAACAATAAAATAATTGTTGACTTAATTATAAATTTACTGATGTAATTATATTTAAATAAACGGTTATGCGCACAAATATTTATTTAATTATTATAACTTGTAATCTATAAGTTATTTTTATTTGATTATTAGAAATTAAATTTACTTTATAATTATTAATGCACAATTGTGTTTTTTAATCCAACATAGAGTTGATTTTATTTTACATATATTGTAAATATTCAATTTACTTCCTAATGCATTAAAATTATGATAGTAATATTTATTAATTTATAATCATTGTTAACAACAAAAACAATTTTAATAAACAAATTCAAAGCATAAATATCTGCCTATATTTGCATCAATTTGTTATTATTGTTACTTTTTGCCATCCATTGCCGCCTAATAATTAAATTCCAAAATATAGATAATGTTAATTTAATTAGTTTCCAGAATATGCTTCTAATTAATTAACTACCATATGTTTTTTAAAATAAGTAAATTATAATTAAAATCATATCACAGATTGGCCTTAACTATTAAACCTAGTAGTTGTTTTAATTTCTATTTGTTTTAAATCAAACTACACAACTCTATAAATACTAAATAATAATTTCTAAACATCTAATTTAAAACTTCAAACTAATATCATTATGAAGAATACATTTATAATTCTAACATTTGTACTTGTTAATGTTTGCATTATAAATTCACAAGGTAATTATTTCTATAATCCCACAAAATCCCACAACAAATTATTATATGTAAATGGTTGAACTGATAATGATAATATATTATATTATTATACTAACAATGTTTAATATATTTGAACAGTGTGCGACCCAAATGGATATTACAACGAATGCGATACAGCGTGTCCGCTAACATGCAACAATTACAAAAATCCACCAACTTTTTGTACAATGCAGTGCATTCATCGTTGCGCCTGCAATCGAGGTTATGTTAAAGTAGATGCGAGCGGTTGGGGTAAACAATGTGTGCTACCGAAAAACTGTCCTGGCACAATAAAGTTTTAAGCGCCGGTTGGAATATTAATTATATTATTCTACCTATAAATTATATATCAATATATCATGTATTGATGATTTAATGAATTATTCATACTTATACTTTTGCACGTTATACATGTATAATGCTGTGTTAATTTATGTTATGAATAAATTAAATTTTTGTTTGAATAAAATGTATTATGGTAAGTTATTTATGATAAATCGTACCTTTAAGATATTCCTATTGATTACATTATTATAACAATTATTTTATTATTACGAGTACAACCCGTCAACCACGTTACCTACTCTTGTTTTCTATCCCCGTCTATAGTTTTCACCTCCCACCCCCTAGTTGTGTAACGGTTGTGATTTTGTGTGTAACGTTGTTTACTTTTGAAATGCAATCGACCCAAATGTATATATGATTTGAGAATTAATTTATAAAATAATTAAAGATAAATAAAAATATGTTGACAATTTTTGTTTACCTTGTTTATTATCATGTACAAGTATTTGATTTGTTAATCATGCTTGAAATGGAGTAAACATAGTTTATAATAACAAAATTAAAATAGTTGTTAATGAATAAACTTTAATTAATTACAAAGAAAATGTATGATTATTAAAATACTTGATAAATA